TCAGGTTTTTGAGCCATCGTTGGAACCAAAGGAAAGTCCAAAGGATAAGCAAAAAAACACAAGACAAAAGCTGATGAAAATGGACCAGATTGGATTATGTCAGACTTGGCATGTGTCTCGTTATGAGGGAAGTCTTCGTTCTGTCTTATCACACTCTGCCTTACAGCTAAATGAATTTATAAAAAAAAGGCAAAGCACAGCTCGGTTCCTTTGAAAACAACAGCCAGATCTTAATTGTATACACTGGCTTAAAGTGGTGTGAGCTCTGCATGATGTTCAGTCACAAAGCAGGAAGTGAGAGGAAGGAACAAGCATCCACTGTGCAACTGCATTAACTTTGGAGACACTGACCTCTTTTTAGGGAGTTATAGATGGGGCAGTTGTTTCAACACTTGAGATGAATTTTGCCCATGAATACGTTTTCTTATTGGCACATGTGCAGACTTGGAAGTTATACTGCAGCATCTACCCATGAGCCCTTATGTCTAGAGAGCCACTATGTTCAGGTTTAAAGTTTAACTCTCAGCGTGTATGTATTGTATGTATGTATGCAGAAGCTGTACTAATGCTGCTCATTACTTGTCGCACCAGAAAATAAATTAATCTTAAAAACACACTATAGAAACAGACTAGTACAAGAGAAGATGTGTTTATGAAACAGCAAAAAATAAACAAACAAATAAATAATAAGAAATTAAACTTCTATCTATCTATCTATAATAATGATTTCATAATCACATAGTTTGTTTAGCTTCATTCTCTCCCATTTCTTCATCACTTTTAATTAGTGCATCTCAACCTTCATGTCTCAAAGAGCCAGGAGGCTGCCTGTTTGCCACATTCAACAGGTAATCAAGACTGATTAAGCACCGAACATAACCTAATTGCATTAGATCTCAGAGGCATGCTATAACCACCATAGCTGCAAACACACACAAGTCTTTCAGAAAAAAAAGAGGAAGAGAAAGAATTTTCTTCTTCTAAAGCAAGCAAAGGCTTTTCATTTGAAACAGAAAAACCAAACATGGTGACATAAAATCTTGCATCACGGAACAAACTGAAAAACAAATGTCAAAGGTGTTTATGGACATTAAAGCAATATAATTGAGTGTACAAATTTTTGGAATCGACAGCAAAACAGAAATGATCATGTACAGTATACTCTGTCTATGTTACTGTGAACATGCTATGTTTACTCTGCCACATCTGAACTCCTCCTGTAGCACCGTGAAGGCCTTTAAGTATGCTGTGACATGTCTTGAAGTCCTTGTTTAGCACCTTTCTCTGTGTGTTCAGGGTGTGAACTGATACCTGGTGTCAGCTAGCGTCAGGGACAGAAATGGTGACAGATAGATAGCTGAGGTCTGCATAAACGAAGCAGGAGGTACACTGGTGAGAAAAGAAATGAAAATGGGACACAAGAAAGAAGGAAAGAGAGGAGAGTGAAAGAAAGAAATGGGGCTTTAATATGAGGTTGTCAGCTTTTTCTAGTTTAGCTCAGGAGGAAGCTGTTTTCTTGGATTTTGATGGTTGGATCAATGCAGCTTTCCAGCCATTTCTTAGTGCGTAGTGACATCAACTGTTGCTGTCTTTATCACCAAACACAAAAGCCAAAACCAGAATTTTCACAGGGCTCAACCTTATTACCACTTGTCAGTTGATTATGCCTTTAAAGTTGGGGGCCAAGAGTTCAGCAGTGAAACACTTGGAGGCCAGGAAACCAGGAAAGAAATCAGCTCTCTTAATCCTGGCTCTTAAATGATGATCGTAGCTGGAGGATACAGACCTCTGTGTCCATCATTACCAGGTCAGCCAACTGCAGCACCATTACTAATGCAATCACCACTGTGATCTAATCTTCAGAAGACTGAACCGAAATAAACAGATAAACATTCCAAAGATTTGGCGCAGAAGAAAAGAAAAACAAAAGAAAGGATGTGTAAATGAGTCATCCGCAAAAGGCTCACCCGTTGTGGACTCTTGCAGCTGCCCTTGATAGCCTGAGGAGGTATGAGCTATGTGATACATGATCGTTTTGATCATACAACAAGTAAAGCCCTTCTCATTAGCACAAATCATGCTCTCGGTTTCAAGTAGGTCACACGTTTCATCGTCTTACCAAATGAGACGAGCAGAGAAAGCTCGGGCCGAAAAGTTAAATGTTAATAGGATACTTGGAAAAATAATGAATAGTGTAGTACAGTGTCTGGTGAAAGTATGTTTAAAGCATGTATGCTTAAGGTCATCTTCCATGGTACATCCAATTCAAGATCTGGGACACAGCAGGTTGTGCAGATATTTCCCCCAACTCATAAACAGTCCAGATCAAGGGTCAAACACAGCTCTGTTTCTATCATAAAGAAATCTACTGCTGAATTTATCAACTTTGATCGGTTAACACCTGGACCCTTCATAATTTAGAAGCTGCTCTAAATGCTGTGGCCAGGCTACATCTAAATGTTTAAAAGTCAAGTGAAAGAAGGAGGCAGTTAGGCCTGAAGTTATGTCCTCCAAGGGAACTTTACAAAGATCCTCTTGCAGATTTATAGCCACTTACCTAGGAGTCTGAGTAGACATTCATAAACATAGCTTCAAACAAAGCCTCATATCCGCTATCCCTGCTTGTAAATAAATACAGATATGCCTCTTTTACAGACAGCAGCAATCTAAAATATTACCACCAGCATAATTTTATCACACACATTAATATTTTACAGCATATTGTATTTTACCACATTGAATCTTAAACTTTCATAGCCGGCCCCACGGATTTTATTCCTTAGGAGTCTGTATCATTATTAGCCAAGATGTATAGCAGGTACAGCAGATGATTGCCTTGCTTTTGTGCACTTCACCATTTCATAGACTATATTTTCACAAAATTAGAGGAATCAACAGCGCTATGTTGTTTGCTTTACTCAGGTTACGCCTTCTAAAGCTGAATGACTTTGTAACTGACCTCTGTATTTTTATCCTGAGCTTTTCTGGAAAATCAAAACTATAGTTTTTTGTTTTGAGTTAGTGGCATTATGGTCCTTGTGTGTCCGACACACCTGGCCAATAAAGTAGATTCAGATTCTGATTCTATGAGGTAAAAAAAAAAAAGTTAAAACATAAATAATTGTGTTTGCAATAGTCCTAAGATGTACTATGGCACCTTTCCTGACAGTCCATTGTTATTTATTTATTTAGAAGGTACCAGTTCATTAAAGTTAGGCCACACATCTATAAATTACCCATGTAAATGTAAGACCCTATTAAATCTATCTTGAAATGTTGAGCTTCTTACCTAAACCAGTGAAAGCCAGGCTGTACAGTATCTGTCTCATTATGATGGGAATAAACACTAACATCTGCATGTGTGTATTTGCATCTGTGCTCGTGTTTATATTTGTGTGGTGATTTAAGTGTTTTGGTGTCAAAACAAGTCTAATGAGCTGGTGCAATAATTATCAGCCATTTTGCTCTCAGTTAAGTTAATTGAGGCTTTATATTAGAGTTAATACTGCTGCCTATGTACATTGTTTTGCATTTGCCAAAATGGCCAGAAATAGTCCTGCAAATAATTTATATGTTTAATTTGTGCATGTCAGCGTTTTAATATCTCCCTATCAACCATACTTATGGGCTTTGACAGTTCTCCCCAGATGGAAGTAATTGATCAACCCCAGTTTTCTGTACTTTTACCAATGCAAACAACTCGTGTATATAATAGTATCAAAGTCAAAAGGGACAAGTCGTTGCCCTGCTTGTAGCCTGATTTACTTTAGTGCAAAAGTCCTAATGTGTTTTATTTTTGTAAACATTAAAGAACAAATGAGTTTAATGGCATTAATATAATTTACAGTGCACTACAGAAAGGCTCATCACATATTAAGTGATGTTAAAGATGCCTTTTAGATTCCCTCTGCACTTTTTGCAGAGCTGTCTGTCATGTTTCTTCCTCTCTTTTTCCTTCTCACTTTGCTTCATGTATTCGACACGTTCTGTGAAATTCCCATCTCATTCAGGTGAGCATGAGCTGATCCCCAGGCCCTTTGCTATTGTCAGGAATCTCCCAGGCTATCGGACTCTCCTGGGGCCCTGTTTTGCACGCCAAATTGATGTCTCTGACTGGAAATGACACTTTC